TAAAAATTTCTATTTACGTTTTAAAGATTATATTTGTTCATTAATATTAATGAAAAATTTAATTTTGCACCAAAAGAATCTTAGAAAATCTTACCTAACCTTATTATTAACAATAATAATTTAGTTTAGCCTAACCCAACTAAATATATTGTAGATTTGTTTACAATAATTTAATGCTAAACAAACACAGTGAAATATATTTTTTTGTTAGGTTCAGGAATAATTTTGGCGAAATTATTGCTTACACAAATTTTCGTTGTCCTATATGGCAGATGAAGCGTTGCTATTAAAGCCAAGATCGCATGTTCTGCCTATTCGGCACGATATATATATTATATATATTTTTATATATATTATATATATATATTTATGTATATATCTATAATATATATATATATAATTATATCTATATAAATATATAGTCCATGGGGAAGTGGAAAAGAATCTTTCCGTAAGCCATGCGTGTCGTATGGAGGCGTCTAAAATGCCGGGAGCAATGGGCTAGTAACCTTCTCCTGTATACAATTACTAAAAAAGAGAAGAAGAAAAACTTTATAAAACTGGGTTTGCTTAAATCGTGCGTGGATGTAGTGCGGATGACTAGAAACAGATGATTGCTGTGTTATGAATGAAGATAAGTTGGATGTCCTCGGCCCTAAGCGAAACAAGCTGAAGGGGGGTCCAGGAGGTGTTTTCAGTGGGCAGATTAGGGGAAATAAATGGGTATTAAATCTGGAGTATCTGAGATGGTTAGAGCAAAGGAAGGGGTGCAGTAGTTAAATGATAAGTTATGGATGGAGAAAAGAGAATATGAATGTGTAAATTCAAGAATTATGATGGATTAAGTAAGGTGGATGCGAGAAGTGGGTCATATCAGCGTGTATGCACCTGGTGAAGAGAGGAATGCAGAGGAGAGAGAAGAGAGAGATTTTTGGGAGATGTTAAGTGAATGTATAGGAAGCCTTTGAAACCAGTGAGAGTGTAATTGTGGTATGGGGCTTCTTGAATTGCTAAAGTAGGAGAAACTTTTAGAGAGGCGTTGTGGTAGGGTAAGTTTGGCGGGGTGCAGGGTGTAATGTAATGGGAGCCCTTTCGATTGAACTTTGATATAGAAAGGGGTTTAGTTATAGGTAATACATATTTAAGAAAAAGAGGATAATTATTATACACGATATGATGTAGGGCGAAAATACAGTAGTTTTGTTGGATTATGTATTGGTAAGATAAAAGACTGTGAGTAGACTTCAGGATGTACATGTTTATAGAGGGGCCACCAGATATATCAGATCACTTTTAGTTGGAGTACACTGAGAGTAAAAGGTAAGATGGGATTACAAGGAGAATAGAAGCATCAGGGAAGTGAGGGTGAAGGTTTATAAACTAAAGAGGGAGGCAGTTAGGGTAAGATATAAACAGCTTATTTGGAGGATGATGGGCTAATGAGAGCATAGGCAATCGGAGGTCGAAGAGGTTGGGGTAGGTGTAAAAAATGTAGTTTAGAGTGTTCAGCAGATGTTTGTGGTTTACAGGGAAGTGGGTGCAGGAGGGAAGAGGAGCGATTGGTGGATTGCATGATGAATGTAAAGAGGAGAATAGTAAGGCGAGAAAAAATAATAAAAAAAAAAGGGTTTTAGCATATGAGAGTTTTTACAAAGTAGAAGTGATTGCAAGGAGGGAAGAGTATATGGAAAAAAGAGAGAAGTTTAAGAGAGTGTGAAAGCAATGTAAAAAGAGAGCAAATGAGAGAGTGGTGAGATGTTATCACAATATTTTGTTGAAAATAGAAAAAAGTTTTTGGGAGAGAATAACAAGTTAAGAAAGCCTAGAGAACAAATGGATTTGTCAGTTAAAAATAGGAGAGGAGAGTTATTAATGGAGAGTTAGAGGTTTGGGAAGATGGAGGGGAATATTTTGAGGAATTGTTAAATGTGATGGGAAAAAGAAATATTTTTTTTTTTTTTAGGGGGGAAAAAAGGGCTGTGTTTTCGTGTTGTATTAAGGGCAGGAGGAATAAATCTTGGTAGGAGTGAGGAAGAGCCAGTTGGAAAAGTGTGGGGGAAGTTCGTGAGTCAGTAGTAAAATGAAAGGGGGTAGGCCAGCCGGGATTGAATGGGATAAAGATAGAAATGTTAAAAGCAGGTGGGGTATAGTTTTGGAGTGGTTGGTGGAATTATTAATAAATGTATGGAAGGGGTTATAAGGTCCTAGGGATTGGCAGAGAGCATGCATTTGTTCCTTTGTATAAGGCAAAGGGGATAAAAAGAGAGTGGCAAATATTATAGGGGGATAAGTCTGTTGAGTGTACCTGGTAAAGTGTATGGGTAGGGGAGTTTTAATTGAAAGAAGTAAGAGTAAGAGGAGAATAGGATAGCAGATGAACAAGGAGGCTTTAGGAAAATGGTAGGGGGTGTCGTCGACCAAGGGGTTTACAGTGAAACATATAAGTGACAGTATTTAGATAAGGCTTAAAGAGGTCTTTTGGCATTTATGGATTTGGAAAAAAAAGGCGTATGACAGGGTGGATAGGGGGGGCAATGTGGTCAGATGTTGCAAGGGTATGGTGTAGGAGGTAGGTTACTGAATGCAGTTGAAGAGGTTTTTACGAGGTTAGTGAGGCTCAGTTAGAGTATGAGGAAAGTGGAAATTTTTTCCCAGTAAAAGGTAAGGCCTTAGGACAAGGATGTGGATGTCACCGTGGTTGTTAATATATTTATAGATGGGTTGTAAGAGAAAGTAATGCCGAGGCGTCTTGGCAATAGGCGTGGAGTAAAAGATAAAGAATCACACACAAAGTGGGAGTTGTCACAGCTGCTCTTTGCTGATGACCTGTGCTCAGGGAGATCTGAAGAGAAGTTGCATAGATTGGTGGATGAATTGGTTAGTGTGCTAAGAAGAAATTAAAGGTGAATACAGGAAGGACGTTAAGGTTATGAGGTTAACAAAAAGATTAGGTTGATGAAAGATTGATATCAGATTGGAGGGAGCGAGTATGGAGGAGGAGTGAACGTATTCAGATATTGGGAGTGGACGTGTCAAGCGGATGGGTCTATGAAGATGAGGTGAATCATAGAATGATGAGGGAACAAGATGGTGATGGTGCACTTTAGGAGTCTGTGGAGACAAAAGAACCCCAGCTCTTTGTCCTTGGAGGAAAGAGGGAATGTATGGAGTATAGTTTTAGGGGGGGGGTTTTTAACCAACGCTCTTATATGGTGTGAAGCGTGGGTTGATGAAAGTTGCAGCGAGGAGAAGGCTGGAAGGCTGTGGAGATGTCTGTCTGAGGGCAAAGTGTGTGTGAATATAATGCAGAGAATCGTAGTTCTAGTTTGGAAGTTAGGAGGAGTGCGGGATTACCAAAATGTTGTCCAGAGGGCTGAGGAAGGGGTTTTGTTTGAGGTGGTTCGGACATGTAGAGAGATGGAGCGAAACAGGAATGACTTCAGAGTGTATCAGTCTGTAGTGAAGGAAAGTCGGGGTAGGGGTCGGCCTAGAGAAGGGTTGGAGGGAGGGGGTAAGAGGAGGTTTTGTGTGCGAGGGGGCTTGGACTTCCAGCAGGCATGCTGTAGAGCGTGTTTGATAGGAGTGAATGGAGAAAAATGGTTTTTAATACTTGACGTGCTGTTGGAAAGTCAGTTGTGAGCAAAAGTAACATGTATGAAGGGATTCAGGGGAAACCGGCAGGCCGGACTTGAGTCCTGGAGATGGGAAGTACAGTGCTGCACTATGAAGGAGGGGTGTTAATGTTGCAGTTTAAAACTGTAGTGTAAAGACCCTTCTGGCATGACGTGATGAGTGAATGATGGTGAAGTGTTTATTTTTCGGGCCACCCTGCCTTGGTGGGAATCGGCCAGTGTGATAATAATTAAAATAATATTTTTTTTTTAAATTATATATATATATATATATATATATAATATACATATATATATACTAACTTATTTTAAATATATATATATATATATATATTTATTATATATTTATCTATATATATATATATATATATTATATATATCTAATAACAACATTGCATTAGCCAAGGACTCGAACCCGTGTTCGTCCTTGGCCCACGTATGTGGTTATAGCTCAACATGAGGCGATCCAGTTACAACATGGGTTCGAGTCTTGGGTTAGCGCAGGTGTTTTTATTGAATCAAATCCACTCGTTCGTGGTTAAGCTCCAAGTGAGATAAAAAGATCAAAACAAACGGTTCAAAATGTGCAAGTGGACTGTATTATATAGCTAAATGACAAGTCAAGAATTAGAGGGGTTGTAGAAAAGTACCAATCAATGAATTGATGGTGCACCAAACTTCTGCTTAATCATCATCCAGGTTTATGTGCAAGATGTTCAATGATTGTAAGATGGATCCAGGGACATAACAAGCTTCTGGATGACGATACAAGGAGTTTTAAAGTGATGTACTCAATTTCTATGGAAGTTTCAAGGAAATCCTTAGGGGATGCAGGGTTTCTAAGAGACGGTGTGTGAAGCTTCCCTATGTACGTCCTTTGATCATAAAGTGACGGATCACTTAGTATAAGTTTCTGCATCTTGCAATAAATAGAAATAACGGGAAATTGTGAGGCCGGCGTTTATAGGTATGCTTAACTTGATCAAGGAAGACACCGTTAGGATCTAAGAACTGTTATAATTCTTTCGTATTGCACTTATAAAATTTCAAGTGTAATATGTAACGTAGATGAGATTCAAAAAGTATTACCTCTCATTCATGAATTAATCACGTCACGTATTTCAGTACAAACGCAACATGCAAGAAGGACATTCACTGTAAGAAGTTACTGAACCTCGATCATCTGTCACACTTCTCGAGAGACAGAAACCCTTATCTTGTAGTTAGACTTTCTCTTCAAATCTTCCGTGAGTTAGAGAAGCAACTTTGAATCAGTCTTTACTGTTTCTGTTTAAGCTTGCATTAAGCGGTAATGATTATAAAGAAAAATCGCTGACAGTTTTCTTCGTATGTCCACAGAGGAACATTATGCGGCCGCGGCGTCACAAGTGTGAACCAACAGCTCTGAGTGAGCGAGCCAAGTTTGTGAGTATGTGGGTGGAAGGTATGTCCCTCCGTGCCATCTCACGAGCAACTGGTTCCAGTGTGTCCACAGTGTTCAGGTGGATACACCGCTGGCTGAGGGAGGAAAACGTCGACGCTAAGCGTTGGGAGCACAGGATCCGCAGCAAAAATAAGAAAGTGAAAACAAAAGTAGTGCATAGCGGAATTTCACAAGCTCCTATTTTAGTGATGGACATTATACCTCTGCCGAATTGTATCTTTGGCCAGGAGGCTTAATTTTCATATGGTCAGGAAAGTCATAAGCGTCAATTCCGCTATCGTTTTATGATTGTTGAGATTCTTGCAGCAGTGGAAGCCAGGTGTATTCTCCTAGTTGTGGTTGCAGGGGTAGAGTCACAGCTTTTGGCCCCACCTTTTCATTGGGTCACTCTTACTGCTCCATGAGCTTTATCATACCTCTTCTTAAAGTTATGTATGGATCCTGCCTCTACTACAGGTTTGACCATTTTGTTTGGAAACCAGTGAGAAATTTATTCTCCCGTTAAAACGTGTTACATGCATTTAAGTTTACTTCTTCTTAATAGATTCTGTAATAAATGGCTCATTCAACTTGCTGCCCTGATGGCCATTGTAAGTTTTGTTTCCGTGTTGGTAAATTTCTTGATGTAGTAAAAAGCTTAAAAAACAAATGAATCATTGGAATCCGTGTTATAACTAGAGAATCACTCATCTGATTGGCTTCAAATTTTCATCGTTGGTGTGGTTTTCTGAATGCTGGAGTTGTACTGTAATTGGTTGCATGAGGCTAAATGCAAGAATTTTGTTTAATGTATAGTGAAATTCATCCATATTCAACAACTAAAGAATACTTCTGATCGTGATTAAAATATTAATTTTTATTTAATATGTTCCATGAATTAAATATGGAATTCCTGTTTTGACTCACCTGATACTCTGATCACTGGTGTATCTTAAATGGGAATATTCATTAATGGTGTTCGGTGTCAGTTTGCCCATTTAATTAAATATTTTTTTATCTTGTTGGATTTTCTTAAAAAAAAAAATCAAATATCTGTCTTAAAGGAATGAGGAGAACCTGAAATAGCATGTAAATGAGAAAATAAAACTGAAAAAACTCGCATTTTTAGGTTGTTTTTTTAAGGTGAATGGGAATAAACTTTACTATTTTCGAAACATCTGTTTCCAAACTCTGCCGATTCCTACTTCTAAATTTTCGTTTATAACTCAAGAATGTACTATTAGATCGACTTCTAATGTTTAACTCTGGTGAACTTCATCACAGACAACATCTACAGGAATATTTGCAAGAGTTAGTACATTATGGGCAATGTAACAAAGGCCATTACTAGATTTTCCTTCAGTGTTATAACTGGAGAATACCTATATATATTATAATATATATATATATATATATATATATATATATATATATAATATATATATATATATATATATATATATATATATATATATATATATATATATATATATTATATATATATATATATATATATTTATATATATATATATCAATAACAACACTGCCCTAGCAAAGGACTCGAACCCTGCCTCATGGTGGGCGAAAAAACATGACGCCCTTATCCACTGAAGCATACTATCCTTAAGAGTAGGGCATCCAGAGGAACTGGATATGGTACTCCCTACCCAAGGACACAAGATGGTGTGGATGACTCTAGGCTAATTTCATTCTAGTCCCTGTTTGGTGTACTAGTTCAACGAGCAGTATACATTATTATTATTATTATTATTATTATTATTATTATTATTATTATTATTATTATTATATTATTATTAACACACTGGCCGATTCCCACCAAGGCAGGGTGGCCCAAGAAAGAAAAACTTTCACCATCATTCACTCCATCACTGTCTTGCCAGAAGGGTGCTTTGCACTACAGTTTTTAAACTGCAACTTTAAAACCCCGCCTTCAGAGTGCAGGCACTATACTTCCCATCTCAAGGACTCAAGTCCGGCCTGCCGGTTTCCCTGAACCCCTTCATAAATGTTACTTTGCTCACACTCCAACAGCACGTCAAGTATTAAAAACCATTTGTCTCCATTCACTCCTATCAAATACATTCATGCATGCCCGCTGGAAGTCCAAGCCCCTCGCACACAAAACCTCCTTTACTCCCTCCCTCCAACCTTTTCTAGGCCGACCCCTACCCCGCCTTCCTTCCACTGATACACTCTTGAAGTCATTCTGTTTCGCTCCATTCCCTCTACATGTCCGAACCACCTCAACAACCCTTCCTCAGCCCTCTGGACAACAGTTTTGGTAATCCCGCACCTCCTCCTTACTTCCAAACTACGAATACTCTGCATTATATTCACACCACACATTGCCCTCAGACATGACATCTCCATTGCCTCCAGCCTTCTCCTCGCTGCAACATTCATCACGCATGCTTCACACCCATACAGGAGCCTTGATAAAACTATACTCTCATACATTCCCCTCTTTGCTTCCAAGGACAAAGTTCTTTGTCTCCACAGACTCCTAAGTGCACCGCTCACCCTTTTCCCCTCATCAATTCTATGATTCACCTCATCTTTCATAGACCCATCCACTGACACGTCCACTCCCAAATATCGGAATACATTCACCTCCTATATACTCTCTCCCTCAAATCTAATATCCAATCTTTCATCACTTAATCTTTTTGTTATCCTCATAACCTTACACTTTCCTGTATTCACTTTCAATTTTCTTCTTTTACATACCCTACCAAATTCATATATATATATATATATATAATATATATATATATATATAATATATATATATATATATATATATATATAATATATATATATATATATATATATAATTATATATATATATATATATGTATATATATATATATATATTATATATATATATATATATATATATATATATATATATATATATATATATATATATATATGTGTGGGGGAAGTTCGTGAGGCAGTAGGTAAAATGAAAGGGGGTAAGGCAGCCGGGATTGATGGGATAAAGATAGAAATGTTAAAAGCAGGTGGGGATATAGTTTTGGAGTGGTTGGTGCAATTATTTAATAAATGTATGGAAGAGGGTAAGGTACCTAGGGATTGGCAGAGAGCATGCATAGTTCCTTTGTATAAAGGCAAAGGGGATAAAAGAGAGTGCAAAAATTATGGGGGGATAAGTCTGTTGAGTGTACCTGGTAAAGTGTATGGTAGAGTTATAATTGAAAGAATTAAGAGTAAGACGGAGAATAGGATAGCAGATGAACAAGGAGGCTTTAGGAAAGGTAGGGGGTGTGTGGACCAGGTGTTTACAGTGAAACATATAAGTGAACAGTATTTAGATAAGGCTAAAGAGGTCTTTGTGGCATTTATGGATTTGGAAAAGGCGTATGACAGGGTGGATAGGGGGCAATGTGGCAGATGTTGCAAGTGTATGGTGTAGGAGGTAGGTTACTGAAAGCAGTGAAGAGTTTTTTACGAGGATAGTGAGGCTCAAGTTAGAGTATGTAGGAAAGAGGGAAATTTTTTCCCAGTAAAAGTAGGCCTTAGACAAGGATGTGTGATGTCACCGTGGTTGTTTAATATATTTATAGATGGGGTTGTAAGAGAAGTAAATGCGAGGGTCTTGGCAAGAGGCGTGGAGTTAAAAGATAAAGAATCACACACAAAGTGGGAGTTGTCACAGCTGCTCTTTGCCGATGACACTGTGCTCTTGGGAGATTCTGAAGAGAAGTTGCAGAGATTGGTGGATGAATTTGGTAGGGTGTGCAAAAGAAGAAAATTAAAGGTGAATACAGGAAAGAGTAAGGTTATGAGGATAACAAAAAGATTAGGTGATGAAAGATTGAATATCAGATTGGAGGGAGAGAGTATGGAGGAGGTGAACGTATTCAGATATTTGGGAGTGGACGTGTCAGCGGATGGGTCTATGAAAAATGAGGTGAATCATAGAATTGATGAGGGAAAAAGATGAGTGGTGCACTTAGAGTCTGTGGAGACAAAGAACTTTGTCCTTGGAGGCAAAGAGGGAATGTATGAGAGTATAGTTTTTACCAACGCTCTTATATGGGTGTGAAGCGTGGGTGATGAATGTTGCAGCGAGGAGAAGGCTGGAGGCAGTGGAGATGTCATGTCTGAGGGCAATGTGTGGTGTGAATATAATGCAGAGAATTCGTAGTTTGGAAGTTAGGAGGAGGTGCGGGATTACCAAAACTGTTGTCCAGAGGGCTGAGGAAGGGTTTTTGAGGTGGTTCGGACATGTAGAGAGAATGGAGCGAAACAGAATGACTTCAAGAGTGTATCAGTCTGTAGTGGAAGGAAGGCGGGGTAGGGTCGGCCTAGGAAGGGTTGGAGGGAGGGGGTAAAGGAGGTTTTGTGTGCGAGGGGCTTGGACTTCCAGCAGGCATGCGTGAGCGTGTTTGATAGGAGTGAATGGAGACAAATGGTTTTTAATACTTGACGTGCTGTTGGAGTGTGAGCAAAGTAACATTTATGAAGGGATTCAGGGAAACCGGCAGGCCGGACTTGAGTCCTGGAGATGGGAAGTACAGTGCCTGCACTCTGAAGGAGGGGTGTTAATGTTGCAGTTTAAAAACTGTAGTGTAAAGCACCCTTCTGGCAAGACAGTGATGGAGTGAATGATGGTGAAAGTTTTTCTTTTTCGGGCCACCCTGCCTTGGTGGGAATCGGCCGGTGTGATAATAATAAAAATATATATATATATATATATATATATATATATATATATATATATATATATATATATATATATATATATATATATATATATATATATATATATATATTATATATATAATATATAATATATATATAATATTTCAACAAGTCGGTCGTCTCCCACCGAGGCAGGGTGACCCAAAAAAGAAAGAAAATCCCAAAAAGAAAATACTTTCATCATCATTCAACACTTTCACCACACTCACACATTATCACTGCTTTTGCAGAGGTGCTCAGAATACAACAGCTTAGAAGCATATACGTATAAA